CTGTCCCTGCTGTTATTTGGCAAAAGGTGGAGTACACCCAGGACAGAGCCCGAGTCTACCACAGGGCCAACACAGAAAGACAGGCAGCCATTCACAATCACATCTATAGTTGATTTAAAATAATTTATTTTCATTTGATGAATGAAAAATGTGTTGTTATTTAAAAAACAGGGATTTTTTTTTATACTTACAACATTTTAAGGGTAGTGTAAATACGACAAGTCCAAAGTAACAGTGCTATCTCCTGGGAATGTTTCTGATGAAACATCCATGGTAATGATTGACCAGACAGTCACCGACACTAAAGACACTATATAAGGCTGGAGCTAAGATAGAAAAAAACACTGAACTGCACAGACTCCATGAGATCCAACATGACAGCGTTTTTTCCATTGTTGCTGCTAATCTGCACTCTCTCTACAGTTCGACTTCAAATAAACTCTGACAGCAAAATTATTCCACTTTTAAATCAGGGAATGGAAACAGCACAAACCTCTGACCCTAAAGAAACATGTAAACCTGACATCAATTCTGTTCTGAGAGAGATGAGTGCCTTGTTGGCTGAACTGAAAGCAGAGATTAGACACTTACAGAAAGAGAATGAAGGTACAGTAGTGTGTAATGGCACAAGAAACCACTGCTTTAATTCACTGAATTATGTCTTACTTTTAATTTTTTTCTGTTTTTTAGCACAGGCAGCTAAGGTCAGAAAACTGGAGTTACAAAAGACGGAGTTGGACAAGCTGAAAGAACAGCACGAAGGTTAGTTTTGGGTGAATAGTTTATTTTTATTGGGGTTTCTCTGTGTCTGGTTGCTGTGTTAGATTTTACTCCCTATAAGCAACAAATTGGGACATTGTCAGAAAACTCGTGTTTCAAAGGAAACATTTACTGTACCTGAAAATTCAAATAATTAAGGAAAACTGGGTAGGACAAGAGAATCTCATTGAACTAAGTTACTCTAAACATAACATAGCGGGGACACTAAAACATAAATGCTTACCTTATTATATATCAGTGAGAAGCATACTCAAGTTGCAGTTTAACTAGTAGCAATACACCAGCTTTCTGGACCTTTTTCAGGTGATCCAGGGATGATTTGCTCAGCCTATAGAATAAATAATTGTAATAATCAAGATGTGATGCATGTTTGGTTACTTCCATTTTGTACTGAGAAACAGGATATATGTCCTGTGAGGGACAGCTTCCCCAATAAATATTTAAGTTTTAGTATAAATAAGAGTCCTGTCACATTCTCAGCAAATACTGGAGGAGTGAGGTCACTTACAAGCACACACAACATTTTTTTTTATTTTTTTATTTTTTCAAAGACTCTTAAATAATTGGATAGTGTACTGATAACCACTTTCATGGCCGGGCGAGGCCCTTTCCCTCATTGTTTTCTGACAAACATAAGGGAAAAGGACCTGTAGTTGATTCTAACTGTATTTGTTTGCTAGATTTCTCAATATGAGGACCAGAGAGATATAGATAGATATAGATTTCTACCCAAACTGAGTGCGACACGCAGCAACTGAATCAAAGGCCTAGAAGAACATCTCAAGGAAAGACAGCATTTGGTGATGTCTGTGGGTTCTTGACTTCATGAAGTGATTGTACTTAAAATTATGCTAATTTGTCACGTTACTTTTGAGCCTTGGAAAATAGAGGACAATAAAAATGGCTGTAATACCGAAGCAGTTATTTCAATACTTTTATTAAACACATTGAATCAAAGCTGCAGGTCTGCATTTCACTCACATCTTGATTCTTTAATTTAAAATCCATTGTGGTGTGTGCAGAGACAGAATTACACAAAAAACAACCAAAAACAACCCAAACCTAACAGTAGTATATTACAGCAATTAAACTTCCAACTACTGAGCCGAACCATATATCATCTCTTTTATTTCTTCTTCCTGTTTTTATCACTCTCTTTGTCAGCACAAGCAGCTAAGGTGAAAGAATTGGAGTTGCTAAGGGCAGAAATGGATAAGCTGAAGCAAGAGAGCCAAGGTATATATGTCTGTGCTCACAAGTTTGCATATACTCATCACAGACATGAATGTCATAGCAAGTTTGAGCTCTTAATCATTTCTTTAAACTTCTTAAAGTTTTTCCAGGGTGAACTGATGGTGTCTCATACATCTTTAATTACTTTAAATAACAAGAATTGGATGTACAAGTAACTGTAACCCACACGAGGGTCATAATTTATACATGCATGCTAAAATATACACATACAGCCACACTAGTATCTAGTTAATTGTCTCCTAGCAAATCCCACTTCAACCAGGTGCATTTTGTAGCACTGAGAAATAGTTAGCTCAAAAGCTTAGCAACAAGTGATTTTATTAAAAATGTTCACAGTCAAACAGTATCTTTTAAAAAAATTGTAATTATTCATTTAATTCCAGCACAAGGAGGAGAGCTGATCACCATTAAAAGTAGGGCAAACATCACAGAAAACCAGGTGGAGGTCCTGAAGAGAGAAGCAGAAGGTTTGTTGAACAAGAAACAATCTCATTATTGAAACGGTTACTGGAACATCAGTCACTTTAACACGTGTGTTTCTCTCTCTCTCAGTCAAACGTGTGGCTTTCTCAGCCTCTCTGTTAGGCACAGGCTCACAAAATATTGGACCATTTAGCACACACATGCCTCTGGTCTTCAAATATGTTGTTTCCAATATTGGAAATGCCTATAATTCACACACAGGTACTCAAATACATACATTTCTAGAATTAATTTGATTTGATGACAATGTTTACTCCATTTAAATTTTTAAAAATGTCCCACAGGTTCCTTCACTGCACCAGTAAGAGGAGCGTACCACTTTGAATTTTACATGTATGGACATCATTCACATCCTTCAGGGGCTGTGTTGGTCAAGAATGGAGAACACATCTTTATTGCATACGAATATTCGAGCAGTTCTCATTCAGTCAGTTCTTCTAATGGTGTCACATTGCTATTAGAGGTAGGAGATGTGGTGTTTTTGCGACTGTGGAATGGCGCTTGGATTTTTGACAATGAAAATTGTCACAGCACCTTCAGTGGACATCTGCTTTTCCCCATGTGAGAAGAAAAACAGCCTAAGATATCTGTGCAAGCACACTCTACCAGTGTATTAGTTACTCTGCATTTTTTCTAGATATGAAGCTGACTGAGCAGCCACAAGTATGAATATGTAAACTATCATCATGTTTTCTTACTTTGTTTAGCCTTTTATTTAATTGTTGGCAAATTTTATTTTTAAAAAAGAGAGATTGGGTTAAATGTTTTCTTTTGCTTTTGCTTCTTCTTCTACTTTTTTAAAAAGTTGAATAGTATCAGACCCAGAACTTAAACACAAATTTAGTTTATTACGCACATGTAAATACCTTGTGATTTATAAAACCATGTTAATATAGCACAATCTATTTCCTTAGAAAGCAAAGACAGAAAGAAAGCTAGGCATTACTGTAACTGTAACTGTTTTAAACCCTTGCTTGTCAATTTACAGTCAATTAAACAAATAGCTAACTTTAGTTTTTCAACTTCATGAAAAACTTCTGCAATGTCCCACAGAGTTTACACCTTTGGCTTACACCTGGATTTCTTACATCGACACTTGGCTGCCATTAAGTATGGCTTCTGTTTTACACCTGCACTACTACAACTCAGCACAGACGTCATCCAACACATACGTTCTCACCATTTGATTGGAAATATGGACAAGCTGTAACTAATGCGTCACAAACACATATTATTGCCAACTTGTTTGCAGTTCAACTTTCTCCCAAATGAAAGAGTCTATTCCAACAACATTAACAATGCCACATCTGCTTATATAAAGTTTTTATGCAATTGACTTTGATACTGACTGCTTTTAAATCCATAGTCTGGCTCTATTTTCTATTTCACAACTCTTAACCTCATATTTTGCACTTGGACCTCAAATCACAGAACACATTTCTCCTGAATGTACCATTCACCTCCAATCCCGCTGGACTCGTGTTTAAACTGAGTTAATGGCTCAATTAAAACACATCCTAACCTAAATGTAGAATTATTTATGTACTAAATTTCAAAGAATAAATCAATAGCGTATAAGAAGGATTTTGGGTAAAAAAAACACAACAACCCAAAACTTAATATAATCCTCAATGTAAAGCCCACAGCAGTAAAAGAATATTTAACAAAATATGTCCTTACATTATGATTTTTTGTTTCATTTTTCCTCCACACTTTGCTGGGTGATGAGCTCACTGCATTTTTCTTCAAAAGGTGATAAATTATTGAGTGTGAACCTTTGGGCAATGTTTCCTCCTGACTACATTTTCATGTAGATCGTGTTTGTTTACTGGCACGACAGTGTCAATCAAATCTTTCTTTCTACCCAGTAGTTTTGCACTTTTAACTACATCTAAATCATCTAAAAGGGTTTTTGATTTTTGTTTGACCTCAACAACTACAAAAGAAATTGCCATTTCTTAAACACAATTTAATCAGTAGAAACTGCAATTTGGGAAGAATTACAATAATTTTTATTTTTAATTTTTTTAAAGTTAATCTCCTCCATGTGCCCAATTGGCTGGACATCCAACACTTAATTTGACTTTTTTATTTCCATGGGTTAAAGGTGAGAAGGTTATATTTAGGACAAAAAACAATTTCTATAGCAATATAATAATTAAATTCAATATTTTTCACACAATGAGCAAAATAAGTAATTTAAAGGGATTTAAATGGTAAGGTCAAGGCAAATAATACGGTGTGTAAGTTCTGTTAGGAAGAAGCAAAAATGCTCTTTTAGAAAATAAACCTTATTGAAAGTATCTTACACCAGACCTCAATTCAGCCTCTCACTCTCTTTTAGCTTCACAAACAGGAGGACTGAACTGGTTAGAGTGGCTGCTTTGGGTGGAGGGAAACTGCTCAAAGCACTGTCACCTATGTTTGCTGAGCAGTGACTATTTCAGGCACTTCTGGCCCACAAATAAACAACGGAGGACTCATTTAAAAAGCACACAGGTTTTATTGCATATCAATTTCATGTATAAATTCTTCATAGCATTGGAAAGATTACATTTGGTATACATTGCTATTCTACAGAATTAACATCAGAGTCATATCTTTTCAATGAAATTTCTCTAAAGTACATCTGCAATAATCACAAGCATCAAAAGAACTGCAATTTCAGAATTGTTCAATATTATTCTACAATCCTTTATTGTTTTTCATTATGTCTTCTCTGACAAGTCTTTTCTAAGTCTTTCGGGACCACCTGTCCAAACATCTGTAAGGCAGTCAGAAGTTGAAGTCAAACATACTAACCTAACCACATGTACAATAAGTGCATCTACGAATTTCTTTTTTTTTCTTCCTTCTTTTCTTTTTTTTTTAATTTTTAATTTTTTTGATTTGATACACGTTTCACAAATGGACATCATTATGACTGCTAACACGTCATGCACAATAATTTTTTTTTTGTTTGCTTTCAATAAACATAACAGAGGCGATATACAACTCAGATTTTAACAAAACAAGCACCATCCATTTAAACCCATATTTTTCAATGATTTTTTTTCTTCAGACAAATGCACCATGTTTTTCATTCTTTAAAATACTATACAGTTAAAAAGAAACTATGTATATTTTTTACTTTCTCCTGTAACAGCGGGGGCAAACAGCAACCATCTTCTATTTTGCTGAAACATATTTCAGTGACCACTTGCCAGAATACGTTCTGAAGCTGGCAAAATGAAATACCTCTATGCCTTCAGTTCCTTTGCTTTACACAGCGCGTACTTATTACAGTAGTCCATGACAAGAATTACTACAAACAGTCAACCTTAAAACTTAATGACCCAAGTCTTTACATTTTGTAACCACAAGTTGGAAAGCAATGCATTTACCATGAATTGAATCTCATTCAGTAGAATTATATAAAAAGAAGACATCTGTCTTTAGAAAACTGAGATGATGCAGCAGTCCTAGCATCACACTACCACCTACTGTCATGAAGAAAAATTACAGTGCTTCTGTTATCCTTACCTCTCCATGTTGAGCACAACATGCCCATCTAGTGAAAGTGAAACCAAATGTATCTGTTCTAACATTCAGGGACCTAAGCATGATCAATTATTGGCTTGGACCCATATGATTTAAGTGCTATTTTCAAAATACAGCATCAGGCCTAGTTAGAAAAGTCCCAGTATGCGGAGAGGAACAGTGATCAACAATGCCCACGCTCCACCTTTTTGCAGCTATCTACAGTAAATTACTCACGCCCCTCCACGGCACAGCTACCTTGTAGACCATATGGAATGAGTTTTCAGTATGACCTCAGAAGAAGAATTTCAGATTAAGAAGTTATCAAGTGTTTCGGTTTTCCCCATCCAGCTAGACAGCTAGACATTTAATTTGAATGGACCGACCAGCAGAATTACGATGCCCGTTTTAATACTTTCTGTGGTTTGTTTTTATCAGTTCTTTTGGTTTAATGAGTTGTTGTCTTTCTTCTCAAATAGTCAGTGATTATGTCACGTTCGTGCAGTTGTGGCTGTGTGCGTTTGAATTTTGGACCGTATAAAATTGGACAACTCATTAAAAAAACCAAAAACAACAGTATTTGTTGGTTATAAGACATGTATTAAATCTCAAACAGATGAAAGGGGGAGCTCGATGTTGTAGAAAATACTCAGATTCAATAGTGTAACAATGTAATGCCCTTTTCATGACATCCATAACGAAGGTTGTCCAAGCCTGCCCCCTTTAGTACTTGAACCATTTTGAACAAGACACATTCAGCCTACTGGGTAAAATGGTTCAACTAAAACAAGGAAATAAAAAGGCTAAACACTGCAGGATGTTTCAATGCCAAATAGGATCTAAGACTAACTACAGCTATATTTCACTATAAATAAAATCAATTAATTTCATGTTTTTTGTTTTTTTGTTTTGTTTTTGTTTTTGTTTTGATTTTGTATTTTTTTTCTCATTTTGGCACACTAACCCATCAAAACCAGAGATTCTGAATCTCCCTCATGTTCTGATAGTTTACCATTCCTTCAGCAACAAGAAACGAGGGATAAAATGACTTCTTCATTTTCACTCCCCCTGCCATGACAAAACAACCAAAAATAAATACAAACACACACTTCTGAAATCAAATATATAAGCGCTTAGTAAGAAAGAAAAAACAAAGAAACTATGACAGCAAATGCAAGCCCCTTGGAAATGAAATGATTGTCAGAGAACAAAACATTTTCTATGGGTTATTTGGCACATACCACTCTTCCTATGAACATCTAGGTTAATTTGTACATCATATGACATATCATACAATTTTGGTCCTTCTCTAAATTAATTATATTAACAATTAAGCACTGCAGTGCCTACGAAGAAACAATACTGTGTAAGAGGAAAGAAAAATTAATGTGAATAAAATTAACAAATGACAATGAAACAAGCAGAGAAAGACTTTCCTCATTTTTTTTTCTGAACATGATTTAAATCCATTTTCAGCATGATCAAGTTTGAATAACCAATTACAATGGCTAGTGGCCCAGATAACTCATTGAAAGCACATTTGAACGTAGAATAAAATTCTTTAAAAAAAAAAAAATCGACAGTCTATTGTATCTGCCAATTCTTTAAGTAACATTTAGTGTGGCGCTATTGTTGATTCTGCTGTTACAACTGAAACAAAATCAGTAAATAAGTCACCCATGGTTGGAGGAAACACGGAGACGGCGGTCAACACTTTCACTCTATTCTTGGTGAAACAGTGCCAACTTGTGGACATGCAGTGCCAATGCAGCATGTCTCTGCAGTGTTTGTAGTAGGCGGTGTATACAGACTTTAGAGACGTATCAGTCATTAAGAGTCTTTATGAGAGCCTTACGCAGGGTCTCTGTGGTGCTGCAGTAAGCCTTGTGCACTTGGGGAGGATCAGAGTAATGCAGAGTTTCAATGCTATTGAGAAGCATTCATCATGTCCTTCACATCAACAGGAGCTTAGCAGTGCGTTCGCTTTGACAGTCTTTGCAAGACCCTTCACCTGGGGGAAAATCTTCCCCTTCTTTCTTTAACAACACTCACACACAGACACACACAAAACAAGCACACACATCCACACAAACCCATTCTTTCTATCTTGAATGTGTATGACAATGAAATCTTCTCCATCATCCTTTGTCTTGCCCCCTACTCATGTCCACTTAGTCTTTCTGTTCCTCCTCCTACTCTTCCTCCCACCTTTTTTTTCTCTCTCTCTCTCGCTTAGATGTGGTTGAGTGGGTGAAAGCTGCTCGTCTCAGACGGTCCACCTCCCATGCTCAGCCAAGCGTCCAGAGAGTTCTGGGAGGGCGCGTGCAAAGGGTTGTTCTCAGAGAGAGACAGCATCATTGCATAAGCCTGTGAAAGAAGAAGACGGATGATTTTTAGGAAAATACAGAAACTTCAGTAAGCTTTCATTGTGTCCAACGACACGTCCAGAAATGAAAGGATTACAGTACATCTGGTTGCTGGTGTTTCACTCAAGTGTGATTATCTTTGAATTTCATGACTTTATACCTTGTAACAAAATTTCATTAAATTGTTTTAAAACTTAATACACCAGCAACGAATAGAGAAGGTTGTAGGTGATGTGTTAGTAAGTTAAGTGAAATTCAAAGATATAGGAAAGTAGGAAGAGAGGTGCTGTTTAGCTCCTGAAAATGTGAAAGCATCCATCTCATCCCTGATCTTTCTTTCCAGTGAACATATTTTGCCCTTCCTCCTATTTTATCTGAGCGACTCGTCCCTCCCTCTTTTAACGGACATCCAAAAGCCAGTCACATACCTGGGTTTTAGCCTGTCTGTACAATGTCTCTTTCAATGCCTCAGATTCTAGCGAAGTGTTAAAAATGTCTTTAACATCGAAAGGCTGCTCGTCACTGGCTGCTTTACGTAAACCATCCAAGCTCTTGGGAAAGCTGGGCAGTGCCTCCAGGTCCAAGAGAGAGCCCTCCTCCTCTATACACCTGCACACCGAAGCATGGGTGGATGGAAGAAATAGGGCAGCGTGGATGGGTTGGTTGGAGGATGGATAGAAAAAATTGATGGAAAGATATAAAAAACAGGGATGGAACAGAGGGAGAGTTAATTAGGGGAGGGAGAATGTGAAGTGAAGAGAAGAGAAAAGTAAAGGTGTGATTAATAAAAGGGATCAACGGACAGCAGGAATAAAGCGGAAGAAAAGGGTTGAAGAGTTTAAAGAGTAGTTAAAGAAACTAGCCTAATCAAAGCACTTGACTTTGGGTTACATTTTTGATCTGTGTAGGGGACATTTTTAGTACATGTGTTATCCCTGTTTACAGTGTTCTTTAGGAAATGCATTAGTTAGATTGTTAAGTATTGCAAATTTTGTTAAAACTCAACATTTGCTGTACATTTTTGTGGTTGTTTGGGATATATTGGGGTAAATCTTGTCAATGAACTCGGACCTTTTCTGCTAATTTAAAACAGACAAATACCTGCGAGTGTGTTCATAGCTCATCGCTAATGGAGCCGCCTCTGCCTCTTCCTCTTCCTCATCCTCCTCATACACTCCTGTTGTGACAGGAGACGGGGACTCGGGCGCCTCGTCGTGCGACTTCTCCGTCAGGCTGCCTTCCTCCTCCTCTTCATCGTCACCCTCCACTTCCTCTTCCTCTTCCTCCAGACCCTGGAGACCTAGCTTGGAGTTGGACAAACTGTGGCTGGGAGGGTGCTCCTCCTCAGGCTGATCTGATCTGCGGAGGGATCAAAGGTCAGAGCAGGGAGGAAATGTTAGAAGTGCGACATCTGAGTTAAAGAGGTTTGAGTCTCCCAAGCCAATCAGGAGGGGCCAGAGGGAAACAATGGGAACACAGAAAAGTTGAATCGTGGTCAGTATAGTGGCCTGGATTTTAGTTAAAAACACATGTAGACAAACCAGATGGGAGTTTGATTTTTTTAAATATGATTTCTAATGTAAATTCTTGATTTTTTTTTTTTTAATTTACTTTTTTACCACAAATGATCAAAATGTAAGATAGAGGCTATGTCCACTCTTGAGCTGGCTGGGCGGCTGTTACCATTTCCTAACCTTTTAACGATCTGACTCATCATGAGTAGCAAGAGAAACAAAAATAATCTAATGACAGCATGTAAAGTCTAACTCCCGAGTCCACACAAACAACATGGGTGCTGACAGTCTGCCTGGACTTTTCCGATGGCCCACAGATGATTAATTGACCCGCTCCTCACAAACAGACCAGGGCATGGTCCACCTCAGACTAAGTCCTCTATGCCCCTCAACGCTTTGTAGTGGTGGAACACAGTTTGCACGACTGAAGGAAGATGATGGCTTGGCTGCAAACAGGCTATCAGCACACTACCATTACGACCTGCCATCTGTACATTTTCCAGCCTGCACCCCAATACCACCTCCCCCGCTTCCATCACCCCCAGACCACGATGTCATGGCTCATGATATCATTTCCTTTGGGATGGCAAATTTACCCCTTTCATTTTTTGCCACACAGTGGACATTTATCAAATCAGACAGGGTTACCTCTGGGAAGGGGTGCACGGGGACAGGATTGGGTCACGCAGACTGGGTGAGTGAATGTGGGTAGAGGGACTTTGTGGGAGTGGAGGGGGGGTTCTTCTCTTTCAGTCTAGATTAAATATCACCATAATCAAATTGCAGAGCTGGCTGGCGGGGAAAAAGTACATGCCTGTGAATGGAGAGAGAAGCGTAGCTCTGACATAGGGGGCCCTGGGTTTTGTCATTTAGTCTAAACACGTCAGTTGGGTGTTTGTGTTAGCAGACTGGGGCTATGGGTACACAGTGAGTGGATAGGGGAAGAGCTCAATCATCAGTGGATCTCTTAGATAAATGCCTCAACCCGAGTCCCCCTTAGGGTCCAAACTGAGAGCTATTGCAGCCCGGTCTCAGATGAGGGAGCAGCTCCAACTCTAGTTTTATCCAAACCTAAAACTCAAGCCAAAGGCGGTGAGACAGATACCCCTCAGTCCTTACACACTGTGGTGGAGCTGATAATATGCGTGCACACCTATACTCCCTAACTTTTCTCATTCTGTCCCACCCTGTGAGCAGCAGTGCTGCCTCAGCAACTACAGCATCACCAGTTTGGAAACAGGTCAAAGTTTTATACAAAAATAAAGGCTCCCAGGCGCTTTTATTTTGACTGGCTATGATGGTGAAAAGGAAATTTTGAAGGGGGTGGGGAACTGTGATGTGGGGGCAGCTAGGAGTGATTATAGATAGTCATCCATGAATGTGTGTTTGTGTTCAGCATTTGACTTCAGTCACTCAGAGGGAGAATAAACAGCAGGCTGTCTGGTGGGAGGACAGAAAGCACAACACTTAGTCTGAATTACAGATATTAAAATGTCAGACGAGGTTGTTGTGGATGAGACTCGGTATTGATCCCAGATGGCAGAGGGGCTAAACTGCCACTGTGTCTTTTGGACATAATGCATGTTGACAAGAAAAAAGGAGGTGTGGGGGGAGAATGAGGAAGTGGCAGGCAGAAAGTGAGACTACCAGAAAGGAATCCAGAATGAGACGAAGGCAGAATCAATGCAAGAGAGCAAACCAGAAAATCGCCCTTCTTTTATTTCCCAAAACACAATTCTTGCCCTTTTCTGTTAACTATAAAAGCCCTTGAGAACTTAAAGCAGGAAGTTTCCATTTTTATGAGGATATTTAAAAAAAAAAAAAAGAAACCTGTTTTGTTTTTGTTTGTTTTTTTTTAAATAAAAAACTGTTTTCCCTACTTTCAGTAAGGAAAACTTTTTCCTTACTTTCAGTAAGGAAATCTTTTTCCTTACTTTCAGTAAGGAAAGTAAGAAAATTTTAAAACTTACTATCAGTAAGGAAAACTTACTGAAAGTAAGTTTTAAAATTTTTAGAGTGCAGAGAAAACTAACAGGATTATCACTTGTGCTACGGGTCTGCAGGGTATTTAGAACTGAGCATGACATTCACAAACACATTAATTAAACTTTAAACATTAAAGAAACTAAAATGTGTGAAAATTGTTATACTGAACAATTACAATTATGTTGTACATTAAAAAAATGAAAGGTAAAAAATTAAGAAAACCTTTTTTTTTCATTTATTTTAGTGCAATGGTACTAAGTGTGTTCTAGTCACTAGGGGGCGCTGTGTACCAATTTCCTGGGTCTGTACTGTTGATTGCGGGAAGGAGGAAGGCGCTAGAGATGTAGAAGAGCAGCTGTTTACTTTAACTGAACAAATTTTTTGTTTGTTTTTCTGGATTTTCATACCTAAGATTAGATGTCCTAAATAAGGGAAATGCATTACAACATTCCTGACAACATCTGACAAGTTCTTTCTGCTGTAGTTAGGATTAATGTTAAATTTAGGATGAGGTCGGGTGAGAATCTAAGCTTGGCAGAAAAGAGTTAGCCACATGGATGGAAAGTAATCGCTGGAGATCTCTGTGAGAATCATGGTACAAATATAATTTTTGTGAGCGGGTTTTCGTCTTACCTCTTATCCGTGGAGCTGGAGGCCTGGTTCATCTCACTGTTGGAAATGAAGTTGCGGATTTCTGAGAAGTACGAGTCCTCCTTCTCATCTAAAAGTGCATGATTTTCTGGCTCTGAGTTTGGCGAGGAGATGGTCGTTCCTAAGTTGGAAAGCATCCCAGACTGTTGGCTCACTGTTGGGGAAAGAGATGTAGACACACACATCCATATGCATAAAAACACATGGACACACACACACACAGACAGCCCACATACCATACCAAGACACACAAGCATCATTAGTGTGATGATCATCGCACAGTTATTTAATTTAGGAAAATATTAGAGGCAAAACACACAATTACTAACATTTAAACACTAAGATCGTGCACAGCTCTCGTGACATTTTTTTGACAAGCAGAAAAAAAATGTTTACAGAAATCTGTGTGGAAGATAAACATGATAGCAAAAAGGTTTTATATAAGTTATGCGCTTACATTTTTCTGACAGTTTTTCAGTAACCCATGTGTGAAAATGGATTCAAACAATCAACAAAGCAAACACTTCCTGTTTATTGACTACATTACAAGTTCGCACAGCCATCATTGCAGTTGCAAACTGACCAGGAATGTTCTCGTGCTCGTGCTTCTTGAGATGGCGATCGAGGTTGGTTTGCTGACCAAAGCAGCGGTTGCACAAGTGACACTTGAAGGGTTTCTCCTTGTTATGGATATTGCGGACATGGCGTTGAAGATTGGATGAGATGCTGAATGAGCGGTCACAGTATTTACACCTGACGAAGAAGAACAGGGGTATTTAAATGTCAGCTGAAAGAGCAGTAGAGTGAGAAGGGCCCTAAAGATGTATTATTTATCTGCTGAGTTGAGCAAGAAACCACTTAAGGCTCTTGGGATTTGCTTAAAAGTATTCACTTTGTTTTTTCTCTGAAGTTTCACAGAAAGAGACCAAACAAAGTAAAGGCAGGTTTGAAAAATAGCCGTGACAAAGGGAAATATGTCAACTACGGGTATTTCAGAAACTTTCAAGACTCTCTGAATTAAAAATAAAAAGGAATACCTGTAGGGCTGTTCCCCTGTGTGTGTCCGCAAATGTCTGGTGAGATTTGCTGAGCGAGGGAAGATTTTCCCACAGTACCTAGAGCAAAAGGACAATGAGAATGAGTGAGCATACGGCATGGTGCACTTTCACATTTGCACATATTCCACCAACTAGTTTAAATGAAACGGGGTGCAGACCTGCACGCGTAGCGTTCCTTTCCCTTGCGAAGGATGGCGTCTGAGAGGGAAGGTGGTGGTGAGCGGAAGTTGAACAGCGGATGGGCCGAGTGTTGCAGCGAATTGGGCGGTGCGTCCAGTTTTAGTGCTCCAAAGCCGTCCAGCTTATCTGTCATGTTCTCCATTGCTGACATCTAGAGAATAAGAAGATTAAAAAAAGTTGAGAAATTTTTTGTTTCATGTTTTAAAAACTGGATAAAAATAATTCAACCAGAGTTTGTATTATTTACCGTGTTATGGGTTCAATTATAAAGTTTATAAGGGCAGTTTTAATTTTTTGCACGTAGCGTGTGTTACATCATGATGGCAGCATGTTTATGCGTATTAAAAACAGAAAAGAAAACACTGAAAACAAAGGGACAATTTAAGAAAGAACAGGGAGTGAGGGAAAGATTCAGGGAGGAAGCTTTGAGGAAGCAGCATATCAGAGGTTAGCCTTGTTGTTTGTACTCAAGGCATGTCACCTCCTTGACCTATAACACATTCACAAATGCCCAAGTACTGTTCCTCCAGTGCCCCCCTCTCTGTACAACCTCAGCTTCTACTAATGCTTTGTTCTCTACTTCGTACCTTCTTCTGCCAAAGCTGCTGTTGCAAGCCTGCAAATCGGCTAAATGAGGCATTCAAGAGCCATGACTGGAGCAATACAATATAGTTTGTGATACCCCCAACTGATAGCCGCTTCCCTCCCCCCCCTAGAAGCTTGTGAACAAAAGAGGCCAGTTATGTAGGAGTTTATTTGCCAAAAACAGCTTACATCCTTCCTTTTTTTAGTGAATACGGGACGGGAGAGACACAGGGACAGACACTCCGTCTCGATGTGTTTATTCGCAGTCTGAGAACGGGTGCGAGGGGGAGCGGGGTGATTCCGTCATGAGACTGAATTAGAGGTGGCATTGTGTTTGGATCACTGAGAGGATCACAGCTGAGACGCTCAGATATGAAAAAAAGTTTTTGCAGGGCAGCCTGCGAAAAGTTCTCAATCTACGAGATAATGACATGAGATTTTAAAGGATGAAAAGGAAATCTATTTGATGCTTAGAGCCTTGTCATGACATCATGTTTTTAAGATTTTGTACCCGGGTTTAGGGTAATTGAAAAAATGTACCAATACAAAAAAAAAAAATTCTTGCAATTTACCTTAAAAAAAAAACTATGCTGGCTAACGATATGACATCACGCATGTGAGATATGCAAACGCATGTTCATGTGTAAATGTATCTGTCTGCATGTGCACCAGATGTGTGTATTGCAAAGTCACGGTTGATAGAGGACACAGATTTCCAGGTCAGATTAAACCGTTTCCCCAATGAGAGCCCCCCATTCTCCTGGACACAAACACAGGATGTCCTTGACGGACACGGTGTTATTATCTAGCCAGCCAGCCAGGCACAGAAAAAAGAAAAAAAAAAACTCTGAGGGGTTTGAGTTATTAGCTTGCCTGTGGGCTCCCACTACATGAAACAATGCCACAACTAAGATTAGCGTGGCCAAGAGAGGCAGTTTGTTACAATTCAAATGGTTATTATTCTCTCTTTTATTAATACTATCATTGCTTGTAATCAAGATATGTAGAGGTGGGGAAGGTCTGGGGACAGTGGAACAATGTGACTGATTATCAAAGGGCAGCGATAACAGGCTGTGTCTTCTGAAAAAAGGTAAAGCTGACGAGGTACACAGGCGCCATTCCGTAAACAAAGGAAGAAATCATACAGAACCCTTGAGAAAATAACATCAACACTTTGGAATGATGGCGCTTGGGTCCTATCAATTCAGGTTTAAGCAGCGTGGGAGGCAGGAGTGAGGTATTTTCACATAATACATAGTTTGAAAATAATAGTCAATACTATCTGGGAATAATCAGCTTGTATGCAATACCTGGCGGTCAATTCCCCCGCTTGTTAGTCTCTTGGTGTACTTTCAGTTTAATGTGCACGTAGCATTTACTGTTTCTTAAAAAGAATAGTCTCAAACCAAGCTAGGTCATGTGTGCACTATGTACCTGGGGATGGAAGAGTGGCGGCGAGGGTCGGAGGAACTTGTCCTTCAGAGCTCCTACCGGGTCGAGTAGCTTCCTCTTCTCCACCCTGCTGGACCAATATCAAGGCAGAGGGTTACGTACCAAGGTCAAACATCATCTAGAATGCCCAACCTCATATTCTTCAATGCATCTACAAAAACGCCTTGATGTTGGTTGTGGAAGTGTCTGGTGTAATCCGGGCTGAAATACCTGTATATGGGGTCCATGAAGAATGCTGAGGGCTTGGCATAGTGCAGTGGTGGTGGCTGGTGTGGCTGTGCCTGGGGCTGCTGGTGCTGGGTGATGGTTGATTGGTGCAAAGACTGTGAATGAGGGTGTGGAAAACCAGATGGAGTTTCATCCTTGATTGAGACCCCTTTTCCACCTCCATAGATGTGGTTCTTTCGATTATGTGGCTCAGCTGGCACACCATTATGACTCCCTCGGCTCCGGCTGCCAATGCTGAGGTCCAATGGCTGTTCTTCACTGCTAGATATTGCTAAATGTCCACTACTGCTCCCAGTACTATTGTTGGGGTTTGAGGTGTTTGTTGGTGTTGAAGGAGCTATCTTGGCCTCCTTGGGTTTCGTGGTGAGATCGAACGGTGATTCTGCTGTGGGAGCAGGAGCTGCCGGGGAACTAGAAACCATTTTGTGCAGTTGCTCACGAGGCGACTTGGGCTCTGCTTTAAAAAACATGCTAGGATTGAGAGCACCTCGATCAGCGCTAAAAGGGTAGAGGGAGTTGTGGAAGTTGGGCAGGAACTGGAAGGGAAACATGGAATGATAGGGCAGTGGACCCATCTTCTTCTCCTGATGAAGTCCAATCAAACCTGGACCAAAATATTTCTCTGCAATAGAAGCAATGGCTTTTATGGAATCAGTGGTGGCTGCATTGGAATTTGTGGTGGTTGTGGGCGGGAGGGCTTGCTCATCGGGTGGGGGGAAGAAGGAGTGCTGCGACGCAGAAGCAAGAAACGGACGATCAATCGACAGGTTCCCTGAACTAGACATGGCTGATATCAATGCACGGTTTGTGTCTTCTAACTGGTGTGCCTCTTGGCTTGATACAGTGCCAGACGGCTTCCTTCTTTTACCACTTCTCTCACGCTCACTCTCTCCATCACTTTCCAGGTCAGAGCCGTCCCCTGAAGCAGTACCTGTGGTGGTGTCCAAATCTGTCCCACTTGTGGTATTGACATCTTCAAGGTCACTACCGTCAGACATATCTGCCATCTTTGATTTTGGTTTGGCTTCTCCACTAGAAGACAAATCCAGTTTATTCTCCTTCTCTTTGTCTTCGTGCTGACTCAAACTGTTAACACCATTGCCATTTGTGGAACTAACTAGAGACAATGGAGGAGCATCTAGAGGACTCTGAGGGAGCTTCACCTCCTGACTGCTGCTGCTCAGTGGGCTCTTTATCAGTGGACTGGCCGGTAATAAAGGAGGTCGTGGATATAGCGACGGGGGAAAAATACCTGGGAAACCATGTGGGAGGGATGGGAAGCCGTGGGGTCCTGGGGAGAAGGGCAAGCCAGCATGAGGATGAGGTCGGGAAGGAAAGTAGTCAGTGAAGCCTAAACCTGACTGGTTTAAACCAGAAAGGTGGGGATGGTGGGACTTAGCCTTAGCCATGATTGGGCTGGAGCTCATGGGGATGCCAGGGTTGAACATCCCTGCTGGAGAGCCATAATGGTTTTTGCCCTCACAGAAGCGACGGTGCTTGTTGAGGGAGGAGGTAGTGCTGAACAACTGCCCACAGTCTTTACATTTGATCTGGGTGCGGCAGTCAGCATGCATACGCTTGTGGCGACAGAGGTTGGAGAACTGGGTGTAGGATTTGTGGCACACCTCGCCTGGGGGAACAAAAAGATGCAGCCCACCAGGGCCTAGTTAAACCAGTTTTAACACTGTCTCTAACTTTGTATACCAAAGCAACAGTAACATGAACATTTCAATGTAAACGGCTATTGAAAAAAAGGTTTTAGGAAAGGAAGGAGCTGGTTCATATGGACAGGATAACTTACACAATCTGAAAAAAAGTGGTCTTGATTTAGTTTGTATATATTTTACTTCCAAATAATTACTGCACACATGTAACAGATAAAATAAATAAAATACATATGTGAGGGCTGTTTTTTTTCCCCCCTTACTGTAAAACACTCCATTTCCAATTTAAGCACTGTCATGTTGTTTTAAGTTTGACAAAAAAGAGCTTAGGTAACCAGATCAAATCTATTATTCACATTGTATAATGAAATTTATTGCAGGGCAAATACAACCTTTGTGCCTGCAAACAAGCTGGTGTACATAGAAAAAAAAGAGAGACTGGATAATGAGTGAGGTTAAACGAGGTAGGAAAAAAAAGTCTCAAATAAATAAATTGTTATGAAAAAGGTGATAATTTACTTCCGAAGCCCTTACTTACAGCTAAAGGGTTTGACACTACTGTGGATGTGCTTATGCTGCTTGAGGCCTGACGAGGTGGCAAAGGTCTTGCCACATTCAGGGCATGTGTGAGCGCGGGCCCCCACGTGTTGAGAGCGGATGTGACGCTGAAGGTTACTGGGATCTGTGAACACCTGAAATTTAAAACAAGTGTATAAAAAAAAATGCAAGGTATACCATGACTAACAATGCTAAAAAAATTACACAAAATTCCCCTTTTTGTATTTTGTAAAAACATAAGCAGACTTTTCATTTCTTTGTCTTCTTAAAGAACTACTAACAGATAAAGCCTGTGTGTCCTGTGCACAACTTACGTGGCGGGTATGCTGTACCTTATCACAGTTTTCACACTCAAAGCGCTTGCCACTGTCATGTGACATCTGGTGACGGATGAGGTTGGACTTCCAGTTGAAGGCTTTGGGGCACTGGTCGCACTTGTACTCCCTCTCTTCTGTGTGAACTATCATGTGTTGTCCCAGACTTGATTGAGAAAACACAAGCTCATCAGCAAATCGGTCAATGAATCACATTCGTAGCACAATGAATGGGCTGAACTTCACCTGTACTCATTGGGAAAGATCTTCTCACAGTCTTTACACTCATGGACAGGATCGTCGCTGTCCTCACGTTCCTGTTTGAAGTCGTCTCTTAGTGCGTCAAAGATGGAGCCAGCACTGGAGCACGAATACTTCTGATGCCGCCGCAACTCAAGTGTTGAGGAGAACAGCTCATCACAGTCTTCACAGCGGTACATCTGCTCGTCTGCACGCAAACACACCCATACACAAGGGTTTGTTTAGCCACAACGTAGCTTTCTATATGAATAATACATCAAACATGTACGTAACTAAGAGGTATGTATTTAAAAAAAAAACATTTCTCATCATAACCTTTGATGTAGGAATTCTTAAGTAAATAGAAATGATTAATAATTAGTTTTTGTAACTTTGTAACTTTTGTAACTTTGTCAACTTTGTCAACATTTTAATTACAAGCTAAGACCACCTACAAGCTCGCTGACATTTAATTGTGCTTTTAATCTGTGCAAAAAAGACAACATTTTTCGCTATCAGATTCAACACAATATCAAAATGTGCAATGCAAAATAAGCTTATTTGCATCTTAGTATACTAACTCCTGAGGAGTGCATGTTGGCAGAGATGCAGAACCAAATGTCTAAAATGTATAAAAAGATAAAAACTGATAATAACACTCAGCAAAAAGAAGAATCTCGTCCACTTTTGTGCTTCAGTCACAGCTGTATAGACAGGTTTAACAAATGGTAAAAGCAACCCCATAAAATGGAAATCAATTAGCAGTGAAATGTAACCGTCATTAAAACTGTTAATTACTTGTTAAAACAAGTGTTTGCTTTAGAGTGTTGGTGTAATAGCGCACAGAGGAAACAATAGGGGCTGGTCTTCCCCTTCCATGTTGATAACCTTTACAATACTTCTCACCAACAAGGTCAAATGCATAAAACTCGGACCAGCTCTTTCAATAGCAAGTTCCTGAGTCCGACGCCAAGTTCAACAGATCAGGGGAAAGCCCAGCGGAGTGTCTGTGTGCAAATGCATAAACAAGTGTACGCGTGTGTGTGCGCACGCGCACGAGTGTGTGTGTGTGTTTAAGTGTGCTTATGTTTCCAAAATGAGCCAAAATGAACAGAGGTAAGCAGGGCCACGGTGGCGCCGACCCCATGGTGATTTCAGCGCCAACCTGCCATACCCTCTTTGGCATGACCCAAGCAGCCAGCGTCTGAGTCGGCCCCCCAGGTGTCCCAACATGCCACACACACCCATCCATCAATTCAAGCTGTACTAAATGAGTTTATCCAAAATGACTTACAGTGCATGGCTCACCTGCTTTCTACTGCATGTGGCCGTTTATCCAGCTGGAACTTCTTGGACACATTAAAAGGGCATTAGTGTAGCAACATCAATGTGTCTAACCTTGGGGAGAAGGATAAATGACCTTCTGGTCAATGGACCATTACACAGAGCTCAAACACTAAACTAACTAGCCACTTTGACACCACTGTGTGGACGTATTTCATAGGGAGCGAGCATTTTACTGTGAGAGGGTTGGGTATGATTGCCTCTGCAGCACAAACAACTCAAAATAATTTTTGTCGGTGACATTTAAGAGTGGAAAATATTTTGGACAAAAAAATAAAAAAAATAAAGACATGGTTCATATACAGCAAGGACCTTCAAGTACCCTCTAGGAAAAGGAACACAAGTAATAAAAGATGAAAGGAAACACCTAAAAGGACACTCAGGTGTGTGCATGAATGTTAGGATGCACATATGCAAAGGTACTTGCATGTGCATTTCGGCGTGCCTGTGTTTTTTTCAGCAAGTCTGGCTTGTGTGGGTTTTGTGGAGGGGGGGTGGGGAGGTTAAAGTGGAGACTAATAGCTCTCTGGGAGACGAAGGGAGTCACAATTATGTGCAGTTTAGCAGCTAATCTGGGAGCATGGGTGAGGTCTCAGGGGACTCCTCAAGTCCTCCACTTCAAATTCCTTCTCCGATAAGCTGGACACAGAGAACAGAGCTGCGCTGCCAAACTCCTGCTCAACCCCACTGCCTCACTCCCTTGCTCGCACAAATGCAGGGAGACAGGGAAAACAAATCAGATGCGATCATCACAACGGTGAGATGACTTTGTATCGCTGCTCATCCTTCTATTTCAGTGTTGCTGATTCACATATACTATAAGCATCTTTAAACACTAAACCATCTGTATGTTACAAGTTCTTTTCTGTGTGCCTTCAGCTCTCTCTTACACAACACACAAAGCCAAATACTTTGGCCCTGACACAGACATTTTGGCAGGTGAAATTTTCTCTCTGTCTGCCTCCCTCATGCGCATACATACAGGCAGATGAATTCAACAAATCATGTATAAGCGTGCTCCATCTTTGACACACTCCTACAACATGTCAATCTGCTTCTTTTCAATAATATAGCTTTCTTTGCTCCTGTATCCCCCCTCCCTCCCCTTCATCTTTGGCACTGAGACCTGTGCATAAACTGTGCATCATGCAGGGTAGTGGTGGGGAGCTGTTGAACTGCACAGCATCTCACGAACATCTTGTTCTCCCTCCACAATTTTCTAATCAATGACAAGTAACAGTAATCAGATTTTCTTTTTTTCATCTGTGGTTCCAGAAAGACTGGAAACACAACAAAACAATGTTACCTGACAACAGCACTTCGGCACAATAAGTCCAAGATGTTTAAAGAAAACGCAGCGGAACTACGGACCCTTTTCCGCTTAAGTAAAGTTTGAAAGAAAAGTGAACAGCTGTCCAAGTTAGATTACGAGATAAAATATTGGACATATTCAGTCTGACATAGGCGGGCACGGTTGAAAGGCAGTGAGTACAGTGAATCAGGTTACCCAGTCAGAGAGGAGAAGGGTGGATGAGAGCACCTAGAAATGTGACGCACTTTGAAATGTGAGCCAATTTCAAGAGGACAGTGTAAAAGAAGGTGTAACGAAGCACTTACGGCACAAGATCTAAAGAAAAGGTCATAATAAAATACACAGAAATGTACTAAAAGAAAGAAAGGGAACGATTTTATTTATATTGTATATAATCTTTAACTAATTCAACAATGAGACTAAAAAAGGTTCAAGCTCTAGCATATTCAATTAACTGACAGGTAATTTTTCAATGGCTTCTGATCATACCTGATCTGCTTTGTAGCTTTCTATTCATTATTTTTAAGCACTAATTAAATTACACACCGAAACAACTTAAACAGGTTAGACAGAGGCATCTTTCCCCCTTTCTTTTCAGTCGGAACACGGGATTCCCAAGGGTTGAAATCGCTGCAGAGAAGTCGCTTGGACGCACGGAGAAACGCCAGGCAGGCAGAGTGAGCGAACATAAATATACAATGCCATCTCAATGGAAACTCCTGATTAGACTGTTTTGCTGAACACCAATACAATGGCAGGCTGCTGAGGTGGGGGGACTGGAAAAGAAGTCAATGAACAATCCATCAGAAAGGCCGACTGCCTAAAAAACCGCTTTAACGAAAACCTCATACCTATATATCCAAGTTTGACCGAGGAAGTAGACTGTAAACCGTCTCAAACCAACGGCCTTCTTAAAGTTGCACACCGGGGAGACACTAATTAAACTCATGACTTGTAATTTTCACCCTATTGGTTATTTATTTTCATTTTTAGGATAGTAATAGTGTTCTGATGCCAGTCCGTTTTATGGTGATTTCCTTACATTTCCAGCACTACGGTGTTTGTTTGAAGGTTTTCACTCTGATGAAGACCTGAGGTGGTTGAAACGAGTCAACGTTTTAACTATTTCCCGACTAAATGCCATTAATCCATCTCCCCCTCTTGCTCCACCTATGAACGTTTTTTTTCTCCCTTTGCTCCCATAATGTGTTCTTAATAATATGCACGGCTACCGAGTAATTTCTGTTTGATCTTAGCTTTCCGTCAACAGAAAATTTCTACTCGCATAGGATGGAATATGACAAGTGCCAATTGACGCCCTAATACAGCATTTCAGGCAAAGAGGCCCATTATATTGCAGCATTGTAAAAGAGCACAATTCAGACCAGACTCTTACGGGTATCCTTCCTATATTGGCAAGCCTATTTTAAATGACAGATCCAAAACGGCCTTCAACCATATGCTTTAATGCGGGATTTAATTCCATCCTGGAAATTTATGGTTCGAATAATTCACATTTCTGGAGTAGGGAAAAAATCTTGGAGGGAGAAGTGGTGTCTTTTCCTCCAGTTATAGAGTGTGTTGACCGCGAAAGCGGCACAGGATGCAGGTTGGAGTTTGTTTAAAACGTGCGCTAATGACGCGCATTAATCTTACCTTGTAGGTTGGGTGCCATGGATCCCTCAGGGAAAATACCGTCCTTCATATACACTAAGAGCTCCTCCCCTGCTTCAATGTCCCGGACAGCTTTATAATAAATCTGAAGAGAGAGAGAGAGAGAAAGGCAAGGGACTCTTTAACTTAGGTCAGGAAAGGATTAATAAGTCTGGCCCCCTATATATTTACTGTCGCAGCTCAGGGCCCGCGTGAAACCCAATATTATTCTAATAATATGGCTGGTAACGGGGGATTGCGAATATATAAAGTAAGATACATTATCCTCCTATTGGAACATAATTGATTCTGATCTGTTCCCAACATTAAACAATTCATTTTACTAACATAAAAACTCCCCCTCCTTTTATTTTACAACACAATCAGCTGTTTGTTTAATTGCAAATTTATCCGAACTTTGTGAAATAAAACGAACGGAAATACGTAAATGTTGGTTTCTGTTACAGATGGAAACGTGATCTGCACTCTTGTTAAAAAATAAATAAACACCCGAAAGAAATTATATAAGAAATCCAGACAAACGCATTTGTTACAAAAAAAAATGTCATAGCAAAAATAAACAGCCCCGCTTCTGTCGTGCGTTTTTGTTTTACAGCTGCAGCAAACCGGGAAATGTCAGGTCTTTAACTGCACGCGACAAATCACTTTATTGAGGTCATTTGACAAGTGTGCTCTGACATAATTTACTGCTGGACACTTGGGTTTCATTTTTTTCCCAGTTTTCGTTCAATACAACAGAAATCGGATTCAAGTTGAAGTATTTAAAGGTAAGTCAGAGCCGAGGCCTAAACCAACAGTACAGGAAACCAAGCTGAGCTTAAATCTTGATTCACAAAATACAAATAAATAAATAAATAAATTATAAAGATGATAATTAACATTCAAAGTTTTTTTAAAAAAAAAAATAATCATCTTTACATGGCACTTCTTTACATGTTGCAGCTCTGTGCATCCCAATTATTATGACACAGCGCAAACAACTTCAGGCGTGATCTGTGAACGCATGGGGGCGCTCTGCACCAGCTGTACACTGTCACCACAACAAGACGGACAGAAGCACTCTTTCACACATACACACACAAACATACAGAGAGGCTGGGAAAGTAACTTTTAAGACTTAGCGCTCGTCAGATGAGAGAGAGGAGACAAAGAGCAAAGGCCTAAAATCAACGAAAACTACACGCATTATTATTATTATTATTATTATTATTATTATTATTATTATTATTATTATTATTATTGTTATTATTATTATTACAGCGTATTATATTTACCACAAATAGGCTACTGTCTCTCTATGCTTTTTCGACCTGACCTTTCTTTTCTCCGTGAGACGGAACAGTTGAGAAAGTTGCGCGGCGCTGCGGAGAGCCTCCAGCTGCAGTAGCACTTCAGTCCCGGTGGAGTTGGCGACACAACCCATAGTAGGTCTGCCCGAGATGGACCGGGGCGCTAGAGCGCACAAGGCCGGGGAGAAGAGGTCGCGGGTCGGTCGGGAAGAGCTGTAGACGGTCGGTGATCGCTCCGTTTGGTTGGATGAAGCCTGACGCTCCTCTGCTGGGTTACTCTCTAATCTAGTCAGTGAGCGCGTCTTTGATGATGATGATGAGTCTCGCCCTCACTCTCTCTCTCTCTCTCTCTCTCTCTCTCTCTCTGACTCTCTCTCTCTCTCATTAGTGATTCCCTGTTGCCCCTTAGCGCTCTCTCGGTTACCCGTCGGCCACTCCTCCTCGTCTTATCTCCAGCCAAAAGGATTGAGGGATCTGCGGCACAGACCCCTCCCCGCATCTCCGATCCCAGCCGCCGCTTTGGCCGCTTGATAAATCTACTATCGATGTAAATAATAGATAAAGCAGCCTGACAGACTCGCAGTCATTCTGTCGGTCACTCTAACACACAAACACACAAACACACACACTCATAGGCCGAACACATGCTTAAACAAGCAAATAGACACACAGACACACAGCAGGCCTTTTTATTTATTTATTTTCTTAGTTTAAGTTTTGCTTCGTGCTTCACTTTTGTGGTCTGAGCATAATCTCATTGCCTCTTAGATTTTTTTTAATCTAAAAGAAAAAAAAGAATTATTGAAGAAAATAAAATTTGACAGAGTTGAATGGTTTAAGATCGCATTTTCATAAAATGTGATAAAATAGAATTTCTATTTTTACGAGGTTTGTGTGACGTCGTAAAGTTATTTTGACGAAAAAAAATATATCGATTACGGATATTGCTACTGAATTATTTTTCAAATATTTATTAAATCGTATTTACAGCGGGTAAACAAAACAAATAACACCCGTTCAGACACGAGTGTGGGCACTGAGGTAAAAAACAATGAACAGCGTCGCAATATCCCTAAAAGTCCTTTTTTTATTTTCTATTTTTTTATGCTTAATTTATATTGCAGCCCTTTTATGTGTAGTTTAATTTATGATATTAATGACACATCTTCCCGGTTTTATGTCAAGATTATTAATTGCAACATTATCAGAAAATATTACACTTTTTTTCCTTTCAAAGAATACAAGTCAGTTAATAATTAAGAGGGTTTAATTACATTCTTAATTAATATTTGGATGTCTAATTTGAATATTTCTTTTGCCTTTTCTCTTACTCGGTCTCTCT